GTGTTTTTGCTATAAGAACTTTGCTAGGCTTTACAATAAAAACTAATATCAATCCAAGTCTGAATTTCCTCTGATGTTAAACTTATTTGTGAATGCGAGTATGTCCGCTTTAAATTTAGTTTAATTCAGTAGTGCTCTCTTTTTTAAAGGATGTATCTCCTTAAATCACATATTTATATTCTTTAAACTCTCTCAGGTAAACGTAATTCTGTAGTACTGCCCAGTACCTGAAATTCTGTTTGTTGATATGTTCATTTCAATAAAAATGCGCTTCATCGGACATTTTTAGGTGATCAGGAATTGGGCCTTTTTTTTTTTTTAACCCGTTTGCAGCAATTTCCTGAAAAATTCACTCTGTTCAATGCTTTTCCAGGTAATACTGCAGTATAAATAAAAATGTTTTGCTTAGCAATATGTATATGTACCTACAAAGAAGTCAGCGTAGTGATAAATGTAAATTGTCTAATTGTTTCTACCCAACCCCGTATTATGTGCTGTAGGTAGTTGAAACAGTTTGTAAAAATGCAAAATCTAACTATACAAGTACTTGAAATCTAACTATACAGTGAAAAGTCTTTAATCCGGACTAGTCAGGACTTCGGCAATTCCGAATTATCGGTTTTTCCGGATTATAGATCATCAGTTAAATCTGGTAAGATGGCATGCAGAAATTATAAAATTAAAAATATTAAACCATAATTTATGAAATAAGAACAATTTTGATCTAAAGGGTATCAAAATTTACAAAAAAAAAATTATAAAAAAAAAGCTTAATATTTATTTGTTTACTTTATTAAACATTTCTTTTAATGTAAGTTGTTTAAGTTGCTTCGTTTTTTGTGCTAATACTTTCTCTTTAATTCTATAAACAGACATAATTTCTTGTTCAGTTACAAAGTTCCACTGGTCAAGTCCCGTAATTGCTGTGTCGAGAATACCAACTAAATTGTCAATCGAAATTTTTTCGTTTTCAATAACCTCTCTGTCACTTTCTTCACTATCGGAAGCGGTACATCGAAACATACTTTCACTTTGTAGATGCTTTGGCAGCTCCAGAATCGGAAACTCTTTTTGACATAATTGAAAGTTCAAGCTTACTTTTTATAAAATTGCTCTGACAGTCAGCAAAAATAATAAGCCAGATCCACTTAGAAGATTAAGGAACAACGCAATCTGCAACATTAACTGAAATAGATAATTAGATAATTTTAGCCTAACTTATACAGTAGACGCTCATTTTTACGAACTCGTAGGGACTACGAAAACAGTTCGTTAAATCGAGAGTTCGTAATTTAGAAAGGCATCGGAAATTGTTAGTATTTCACATTTTAATGTTTTCGAGACAGGTTAGTGATACTATTCCATGCTTTTATTTATGTATTAGGAATTATTTTTAATAGTATTACTACTTAATAAATGATATCCATTCTATTAAACAAACAAGAAATATAAAATATTTGTAAAACGTACCTTTATTAAGTCATTGAGCAACAAAATAATCTTATCTTTGTCTTATCTTTGTCTGTTTTAAAACAACAGATTGTACAATCCATCTTCTCTATATTTGTTAGCATTTCACAATTATCACTGGCCTCAAAAAATCGTGTAAGTTCTGACAAGTATTCAGCAGCTTGTTTTAAAGTCGGTCTTGGTGTTACTTCATTTTCTTCTTCTTCTTCTGGATCTGAAAGTCTCTCATTCTCGTTGATTATGCTGCTAATAATATCGTGATCCGATATTTCCTCTGTGCAGATGACATTAGAATACACATTTAAAAAATCCTCGAACTTCTGGCAACTGTGGATTTCTACGGCGAAGTTCATGCATGAGAACCTCATCTTCGTCGTGAGATCTATTGTCATGGATTTCTTCAGTTACGTCTGTTTCTTTATTAAAACCTGCATGTCGAAAGGCTTTAGAAATTGTTTCATCTAAAGCATCATTCCATGCACTGATTGATAAATGCATTGCACCAAGAATATCAATCTGATAAGGTTGTTCCCTTTTCAAGCCAAGGATTACTCTTTGCAAGAGCACTGTCTTATATTTTCACTTGAAACTATTGATTATCCCCTGATCCATTGGCTGTAAAACTGCAGTTGCATTTGGTGGGAGATATTCCACACGGATTGCCTGAAGCACAGTGACTTCCATGTGTGCAGTCCAATTGTCCACGATTAGGAGAACTTTGCGCTTCTCTGCTGAAAAATGGTTATCTAAATCTCTCAACCATTTTTCATAGATGTTGCCAGTCATCCAGGCCTTATTATTAGCATAATATGCAGCAGGAATCTTCTGAACATTTTTGAAACACCTTCGTTTCAGATATTTTCCAATAAAGAGCAGAGGCAATTTTTGTGACCCAGCCATGTTGGCTGCAATCAAAACTGTAAGTCTCTCTTTAGCTTTATTACCTCCAACACATGTATCTCCTTTGTAAGCTAATGTTCTTTCTGACAAAATCTTAAAAAACAAAGCCGTTTCGTCCGCATTAAAAACGTCATCTGCAGTGTATTGAGAAAGAAGCAATTTCAACTTTTCTTCTTTCCATTCATTTTCTGATGACGTGTCTACTGCTGCACTTTCACCACCCACTTTCCGGAAACTCAAACCATTCCGAAATTTAAATTTCTGTAACCAACCATCCGATGCTTTAAAATCTTTGATGTTTAATTTGGAAGCAAAAAAGTGTGCTTGTTCTTTAAGTACATTTCCATCAATTGGAATGTTTAAGCTTCTCATCTTTCGAAACCAAACAAGCAAAGCCCTTTCCAAATTTGGGTGTTTTGATTCTCAAAAATATTTTCGAGAGGAGGGTCCACATTCATCGTTTCCGTTTTTAGCTCCAAAGATCTTCTCTCTTGCCTTTAAAATCGTCGATAAACTATTTTTAGGAATTCCATATTTCTGAGCAATTTGTGTCTTGCTTAATATTTTTTCGTCAACTTCTTTTAAAATCTTCTTCTTTATTTCAACTGCTAAACAAATTCGTTTCTTCATTTGCGACATAGCTGTAAGAATCTTACTTAACAAAAACTGGCCCAATCTCCCTCTCGACTAACGAGACTTCACTGATTGAGTTGTCCAGATCAAATGACTATGACATTACAAAAAGCAACAGCTCTCTTTTAGAAGTAACCCAAACCCCTTTAACATGAATGGTCTCACCCCCACCCAACAACATCAGGCCGATGCTCTTCTGAGAGCCTCCCACAACAAACAACACCATAAATTTGTCCTAATTCCCCCTCCTTCCTTACTGTACTTCTTCGGATGTTTCGCACTTGCTGCCTCAAAATAGTTGGAGATTTTATTTGACCTTCACACTTCGTCCCAATGAAACACGCAGTTCTAGTATGAAAGTTTCAGTATGAAACTTTCATACTAGAACGCAGTTTCAGTATGAAAACTGAGTTCACAAAAAAGAGATTTCCCTGATTTGTAGTTCGTAAATAAGAGCGCAAAATTACATTACATCTATGGGAGTGTATTCGGGACCATTTGCTAGTTCGTCAAATCGAGAGTGTTCGTAAAAACGATCGTCTACTGTACCATCCGTTATACATTAAACACGCATGTGTAAACGTATTATGCGCATGCGTAAATACATTATGCATTTACGCAAGCGCAGAAATTTTGTAGCTTTGAGGTCCGGATTATGGACATCCGGATTAAAGACTTTTGACTGTATTATCTAGCTTTACAAACTGCTCAGAATTTCACATAAGATTGTAAGTACAAGGTTTGACTTAAAACCTGATTAATGACCTCAGAAATGTGAAAGTGTGAAATATTTGAACTGATTTCTGATATAATGCTTGTCTGATAGCATTTGTATAATTGCCAAAAACATCAGGAGAAGTCTGCTATTTTTAGTTTTCTTGTCACAATAAATCTGGATGTGCAAAATGCTGTTTCAAAACAATCTGAGTGTGTTAAAGACCCCTTTCAGTGCAGATTTCAGTTTTAGGAAGAGAAAAGTTTTGTGTGGCAAGGTTGAGATACTACTGAGGTAGGTACAACTCCATTAACGTGGTTGTTTGTGAGGAAGTACTTCAATGCACTGCTACAATAAGATCGTGTATTGTGGAAAAGAAACCAAGACCAAAATCTATGAACTGCAGCCATGCACAATGAACATGATACAAGAAATGACTAAGAACTACACAGGTAAACTCCCCATTTACTGTTTGACCTTTATGGAGTCACGTGAAATATTTTTGATATACTATGAAGCTATATGTACTATGAAATATTTTTGATTTTGCTATTGAAAAACTGCATCACTCCATGCTTTGATGTTTAGTTTCTGGATCATACTGGAAACACATTTTTTTCAGTTATGATGGGCTGTAAAAACAAGACATTGTTATCTGCTATGCTAATGAAATTAGTATATTATTTTTATTCTTCACTAAAATAGTGAGAGACAAACCTTGTATGAATATTACAGTAACTGAAATCTTCAATAACAGTTGTTCTAACAATTTCATGAGGAATATCTGATTTTCTGCCATCATTTGGACAGATAAATGCCAATCTTGCATCAGTAATGCATAAACTCTTGAAATTTGCCACATACTTTTTGTTACTAATCTTCCTTACCGATGCTAATTTTTGATGAATTCTTGTTATTTTGGAAATTTTTGAATTATTCATATACTTCTCTGTACAAAATTGTCAGCACCTTTATGCGTTTCATTTCAATTTTACCCACTTTGGAACAGAAAATCGTATTGAACCCTCTGCTCTATTGCACACTAATAACATGTGCTAAAAGCTGCAGCATAAACGAACAAGAGGTGAAAGACATGCTTATAGATGTTCTGTGGGGAAATCCCTCTATAGGAAAACTATGGAATATACTGTTGAAAATTTAGATAAACTAAAGCTAGAAAATTACTAAACTACCAAAATTTAGAGAAAATTTCATTTTAAGAGTGAAAAGTTTACTCTTATTATAATAAATTAAATATGTTTCTGTAATTATTTTTTTTAAGGTAGCTATTATCTGTGCTACATCTGATGGACTTAAAGTAACTGTAGAAGATACAAAATCAGTTCAAGGAAATGCATATATTCAGTCATCACTGTTTCATGATTATATCATCAAAGAGCAAACTGTAATCTTCAAAATAAATCTCAGTGTTTTACTGGTAAGTTATCAAAATGATCATACTAATGTTTACTATTTTCAAATATTATTGAAAGATATAATAAATATTGTTTAAAATTTCAGGAATGTCTCAATATTTTTGGTAGCAAGAGTAACCCAAGCTCAGTGACTACAGTTAAGCTTTGCTATGCAGGTTATGGATCACCTTTAGTTCTGCTGTAAGAGTGTTTAATTATTTTTATAGTTACATCAAATGGAAATAATTTTAATAAATATTAATTTAAAAGATATTTTTCATTTCTGCATATGTTCAAAGAAACATATAAATTATTTTTCATCGCTGCAGAGTTTGGAATTTCAAAATACTGTCTAAAATTAATTGGTGAATGACTTTTAAATTTTGTTTGTTCTTAAGGGTGGAAAAATTTTCTATTTGAATTTGATGTTATATATTACAAAGTTAAAATTAAGTTTTTAGGGCTCCTAACTGTCATTATCCAAACTGCCCAGAATACTAGTTTTCAAATGATCTTTATGTTTTAGTGCAGGAAATTGGCTGTTGTCTTCTAGTGCAGTATGCAAATCATAAACTGTAAAATAATATAATGACCTTTCATTCAAATATGCAAACTGTTATGTAGGGTGATTTGCTTAAGCATTGCAGACTTCAAGGAGAGATAGGATACTCAAAGATGATTCAGAAATATGTAGCAGTGTAGTGGTGGAAATGTATTTGTAGCATAGTAGAGGTTTACTGGTACAGGTAAAATGTCTGCTTAGGAAATTTGGCATTCAACAATCAACCGCAGAGGAAGTGGGATGGAAGGTTTCAGTAACTCCGAGTTAACAGATATGCATCTAGCATATGGAGTGACCGATTGTAATGAATGAGCCACTGTGTGCGTTACAGTGAATGGTACCCGAATAAGCAGATTCCACATCGCAAGATGTTTGCATGTCTGCATCCAAGATTGTGCAATATGAGAGCTTTCAGGACAAGTCAAATGAATTGGGGATGAACGAGATGGACACTATGACTTTATGACTTGCATACTGCACTGAAGTAGAAGAGATGGTGCTCCGTTTTGCAGAAAATAATTCACAGGTTAGCATGCAAATGATTGCTACAAATCTTGCTGTTTCTCCAACCATCATCTGGAGAATCCTGCATTTGAATCTCTTGTATCTATATCACGAGCAGCGTATACAGCATCTGTTTCCTACTGATTGCACACCATGAGTTGCATTTGTTGAATAATACAAACAGAAGTGTATGACAGAACCCTATTTTGTAGCTGCTATCCTGTACACTGACGTCATACATTAGTACAGAATGCAGTTACAGTGCATATAATGCACAGATATGAACAGTGGACAACCCCAGAAGTCAGTGTTAGGGTGGGCAATGGTTGATCTGTATAAGTAGGCCTGTTTCTCATACCTTTTTCATCTGGACAGATGGTCTTATAATATTGGGCCCACCAGCGGCTGAGCGGTAAAGTCGCTGAGCACTGGTAGTTCGGTCCGAGGTTCGAATCCCGCGAACGGGCTGGCTGCATGGGCGTTTTCGTGGTTTTCCCCATGTGTAACGTGTATACGAGCCAGTTTCCCTTAGAAAGTCCTCCACGAAGGCATCCCTCCCCTTAGGCAGATAGCCCCCGAGGCTTTGCCAAAATTGCAGACACAGGTCTTATAATATTTCCTTGGAGGAAATCTTGCCTGGATCGTTAGATGAGCAAACCATCTAGCAACTGCAGCACAATGTTATGTCATTCCAGCATGCTGGTGCCCGAACCTATTTTACTTTTTCCATTCAGCAACATTTGAATGCAGTATTTTGTCAAATTTGGATTGATCGTGGTGATCCTATTCATTGGCCTGCATGTTCAACAGGGCCTGTCTTACATAGATTTCTTTCTCTGGAGTTCCTGAAAAGCGTGGTATACAAAACTCCTTGGCTAGTGAAGAATATCTTGTTCTGTGCATTAATATAGCTAGTGTGATCATCCGAGAGAATCCTGATACATTCTAAAAAGGTCGCTGAATCCTATGCTGCGTTGGTAATGCATTTGTAATGTAGCTGGTGGCTGTAATTTTGAACACTTATTGTTACATCTGAATATTGCAACTCTAATGATATGCTGATTAAAATAATATTATTCACATCAGTTTCTCTCATTTCTTGTGTTTACTGTGCTGCACAATGTGGATTGCATTCCCATCCTTACATTGCTATGTAGTTTAAAATTATCTTTAAATTATCTGTTCCTCTCTGAAGTTTGTATGTGCTTAAGTGAATACACCTGTATATGTGTTTAGGATAAAGTAATTAATCATTCAGGTGCTGTAAACTTTCAAATTTTATAGGAATCTGATAATTAAAATTCATAAGTTAAAAAAGTATGTTACACTTTTCTTACTTAATACTTCAGCTATCTTTTTTTTTTTTAACTTTTCAAACTTACTTTTTACCTTGCTTGATTAAATAATCAAGCAAGGTAAAATTTGAAAGATTATAATACTATTATAAAATGCAATTAGTGTGATCCAATTATGGAAAGAGACAAAAAAGAGGAAACCAGACATTATTTAAGTTCCTGCTGATATAGAGTGCAGTCTATGAGAGCTCCAACAGAGTTTTAAGCATGTAAACTTAATATTTAGGGAGCATAGTTTGCTGAGTGGATAAGATCATTGAACACTGGTAGCTTAACCTCAGTTCGAATTCAGATGAATGGGCTGGCTGCCTAGATGTTTTGATACTCTTCTGTTATTGGGATTGGATTCAGAAATAATATGTGCATATGCATGCTTTCTTGTATGCATGTAAATATGCATGTGCATATGTATATGTGTGTCTATATGCACACATATATGCACATACATTCACACATATTATTTCTGAATCCTATCCTGGTAACAGAAGAGTACTGATGTCTTCACAATTTACTTCATATGTAATTTGAACACAATCTAATTTTTCTTAGAAAGTCTTAAACTACATTTCTTAGACATATAGCCCTTATATGCTTTAATATATTCAATTTAGCAAACTTTGATATTTCGTTTAGAAAATTCATGTTTCCCTATTAAAGTTCATCTTAGAATGCAATAGATTTTTTACATGCAGGTAAAATATGTTAACATTTTACTAAAATATGTTAACTGTTATATTAAAATATGTTTAAATGTTAACATGGTTTCTTTAAACTTAACAATATCATTAATGAATATAGATTAGAAGAAAATGGTGTACTGACTGACTGCAAGTTACAAACCTTAGAACCTGATGACATCCTTGACTTTGAATTTACTCCTTCTAAAGTTGTCAATAAGATAATTATGCAAGTGAGTATATAAAAGATAATTTTCTTCCTTTGCACATGTTTATTTTTATCTGTTTTAGAAATATTTCATGAATGTATGAAAATACTATTCATTATAATAACTCACACAACAATTTTTAATCTGAATTTCAATGTACACAGACTGACAAAGAAATTGTAATTACAATTCCAGTTTTAATAAACATTTTTAAAAATGTACTTAGATAATATTCTGTTATTAAAGCTTAGTGTATATACCAGTATATGAATGCAATGTATATCTTTTGTATTACATTTAGAATGTGATTGCTGAATTTTAAACTTGAAGAAAAATTTTAGGTAGTAAAGCAATTTACCTGATGTATGGTGATTTGCCAGAAGGTTCACTATGCTGTCTAAATTGATGTATGTGTAATAATGCATAGTTGGATCTGAGATGAATCACTAGCAATTAGCCAGTCTTTGGGCTTTAACTGTAGTTGTACTGAAGTTAACTTAATCAAACAATTTGATTTTGACATTTTATGATTTAGTGTTTTTCCAAACTGGCCAATAGGAAGAAGCAGCCAATTTCTTTTAGAGTTTCAAAGCATTAAAATAGCATAAATGATTCGTTAACCTGCAATAAGCATCAAACTATCTTATTTTCTGTTAAAGTAATATGAAAGGGAAAATATGGGGAGGGAGATTGCATTTTGATAGAAAAAAATTAATAATGTTAAAATGGAAATGGAATTACAAATAAAGGGGAAAAGTAAGTATAGATCAAGAGGGGTTTTAGAAATGAACTTTAATTATGAAAGAAATAGTAACAATCACCATTGGGAAGCAAATTTTACATTAAATCCAAAAATGCAATAAAGTTAATTAAAAATTGGTACTGAAGTTAAAAAAATGAAGAAATATAATAGGGATCTGTATAGTTAATGTGCAGATAGATTTAAACGCAGTTCTGGTATTTGTATTGTAATATGTCATTATGTTTTTTTGGTAGAAAAATGCTTTAAATACAGTATTCAAAAGCACAAAAAATGTAAAATTATGTAATCAAAGTCTGAACTAGAAGTATGAAATCAAACCAACCAGAACCATAGAATCACTCCAAACTGATTTCTGTTTCTTTTATGAATCAGACAGATCTGTCCTAATATTTAGTGTTTTCATTTATATTAATATTTAATATTCATTTCAGTATTTTTGGTATTAATATATACCTTGTTAACCTAGAGTGAGAGGTAACTTAGTTAAGCATTTGCTTCTTAAAATTTTTTGCTGATCTATAATTATATGTGGTACATTTCTATTAACAGAGCACCACTTAACTGTAAATGTGTCTTAGCTATGTTGGTGGACATCTAACTAGATGGTGACACCCTAACGATACATAAAGTTTCATGAAAAATTTGACTAACAGTAACAGTGATGTATCATATTACATACATATAATGTTTAATGTGTGCAGTGCCAAATTTTCTCTGTTGCTCTTCCCATGTACACAATGATCTGTTTACACTAAAAAAAAAAAATTTAAAAATCTGAAAGCTTTCAGATTTTACATTACGTCCAAATGGGCTTTTTTTTTTTTTAAAGTTTTGTGTGTTGCCTTTATTTATTAAATATAGTTTTTGGTTTATGCGTAATTTCTTCACACTTAAACCATAAAATTCAGTTTAATAGCAATATCGCAAAATAATTTTTAAATGAGCATATCTTTAGAATTTCCGATGCGCAGTCTCATGTGCTGGACATAATTTTTTTTTTTTTTTTTCCTGTAGTGTGTTCATTGCTCGCTTTGAAATCATTGAGTTTGTTAATCAAAAATTCGTTTTAAAGTTTTACAAAATATGAAATCAGTAATAAAACAAATTCCAAATTTGGGCTTCTAGATGCCCATATTCAGGGGAAATGTAGGTTATTCAAAATTTGATGGTTCTAGGTACCATCGTTTTAGCACAGTGTGGAAAACTTACATACATTTATGCAGATTCTTCATTATTTAATTTCTTTAAATATAATACAGAGCTGTAATATTTGGTGGCAACAGTTTGAAACTTGAACCAACATTTATCGTGAATCAATGCAAAATGCCAAAATGAAATTAACAGCCCTTCTGGGCTAATATCCTTTGGGCTAAAAAAAGAAAGAAAAAAACAGAGAATTGCACAAATTAGCTATCATGCACATTGAATAGCCTACCAGATCTGGCATTTGGCAGGCTAGTGCCAAAGCATGCCATGAGAGATATTTGTTTCAGTTTTATGCGTAATTTCTTTTGCTTATGTATATATGTGTATATCAAGTATATGCAATGTCTTTTGTTTTTCTTAAAAAAAATCCTTTTGGGGAAAAGGGAATCACCATTTTATAATTCAAATGGGAAGGAAGATAGTAAATAGGCTAAATATTTTTGCAAGAATATTCAGTAACCTTCATATTACCCAATTCACAATAACTTCCAGATTGGCATGAGGTTGTGTACAGCAACACATCCCCAACTGCTCTCCTTACATTTGCTGTCTGTTGCCAGATGGTGTCTTACCAGAAACGATGAACTCACTAAGGCATAAATAAACTCAAAGGAGAAGTTACCACTTTTATAAACATTAAGTTTGCCACAATGCCTAATTAGTCACCATTAGCTTCTTCAAGAAGCCACATTCTTATTTATAGAAATTGGAATGTTCTTGATTGCATTTAAATGAGGTATAAGCAAGGACAGAATGTTTGGGTTTCAAGAATATCTTTCAGAAGACTTAGAACTTGTTTGTCAAGATATCTAAGTTTTCTCACAAGTTCATTAATTGTGTTTTAGCAAATGTTAAAGGAGGATTATTTGGTCAAATTTTACAGTTCAGCATCTTAACACACTGTGAATTTCAGCGTCTTCTGTAGGTAGAGATCGGTTTGCCATCTGGAATTAAGATTGCTGTAAAATTTTACTGGATTGACGATTTCCTGATCAGTATTTTGCTTCATTTGCAACAAAACTCTGCTAGAACTTCTGCGATAGAATTTAGGGATGAAAAATTTCTTTTTTAATTTAGGGAAACATTGGATGGCAGAATTTAGAAGCTGTAGAGATTGCATTGCTTGTGAAAAAACCTAGTGCTGACCCTGAATGTCACTACACCTTTGTTCTGGCCAAAGATTACTACAATCATTAGTTGTAAATGCCAAAAAATTTTCCTTTAGAAAATCATCATGAAAACTAGGTTCCTTTAAATGGATCATGACCAAGCGGAATATTCCTTTAGCAGTGATATCATCCATTATGTTAAACGAAAGATTGATAAGCTCATTCATGTGTGGAATGTAAATAATGAGCAAGGATAATCGAACTTATTGTAGTGTTGTCATCTATAAGAAGAGGATTTTATTATTCAACTCTATCATGTTCTTAATGATAGTGTTCTTCATTTGCATTGCTATATGGTTGACAGATCAATGCATGCATTTATTGAGTATAAAATATGGACCATGTTCATTCCATTCAGCTCTTTCTTAAACTCACTAAATGTTTGATTCTTTTTAACTACTTTGTATGCTGCTGTAAATATATTGGCAGTTACTTTCTCTTCATTCTGAAAAGCTTTGGTGTTACAGTTTCCAAAAATATAGTTTTTGCTGTTTCTAGTATTGAAAGAGCTGCTCAATGAGATAAAATTTCCATATGTCTGAAAAATTTCTTTTGGAGGGAAAGCATCTGTAATATTAATTCATGCTGAAGCCTATTACTGAGAAATATTCAAGAGTTTATTTTATAGTGTCATCTAAAAGTACCATATCTTTGTAAGATGTACAGCCAAACTTTTTTTATCTTGAACCTCTAGTCAGTCATATTTATTGTAGAGATTCTCAGAAGATAAGGCTGTGTGGTTCTGCTGTTCTATAATAGACACTGCTTCACGCAATGCTTTTGGTGCAGTTTTTTTTGTTTTTATACAGAGATACAATATTTGGTCATTATTCGCTTTGTGTTTTTTGCTGGTTGTAAGGAGGGAAAATAATTTGTAATTTTCCTTCTCATATTAAATACTGTCTCTTAATGAGGTCCTAGAACAAACTTTCATCATTACTACATTAAGCTCTAAATACTACTTCACAGGTTTAACACTCATTATCTGAGACTTAGAAGATAGCATGATGAGAATTATGGGTGCATATGTTTTCATCTATGCATATCTGCAATGACGCATTTGCACAAATAAAAATTTTTTATGTATCTGAATGAAGAATGAAGAATTTTTATAAACTTTTTGCACTCTTTGGGAAAATCTACATAAACAGTAGATTGATTGCCTCCATTGGGGGCAGGAGAAAATAGCAAGAAGATAAACCGATTACCATGGTAGATTTCAACTACAATTCTACAAATGGCTTGGAGAAGACTTGTTTGTATTTGTCTGCCCCTTAATCGTTGATTGTGCCAGCAATCCTTGGAGCATGTTCAATGTTCAGATGTATTTATTTATTGTAAAACAGCTACTAATCTTAACTAAGCCTTTTTGTTGCCACCATACATTATGTAAAACTTAACCACATAAATATTCATAACACATTTGGGTGTTTGTTTAGCTGGAATTCCAATGTTTTAAAATTCTTCTCTTTAGATTCACAAAGTGTTTATGTGTATGCATACTCCTGCATCCTCCCCCTAAAAATACACTGAATTTATGTAAATTGAAGTGGAGGGGGCCAGTTTTTATATATACAGTACAAAGTCCGTAATCCGGACTTGTCAGGTCTTCAGCGATTCCGGATTAGGGGTTTTCCTAATTATAGATCATCAATTTAAATCTGGTAAGATGGCATGCAGAAATTATACAATTAAAAATATAAAACCATAATTTATGAAATAAAGAGCAATTATGATTTAAAGGGTATCAAATTTTACAAAAAAAAGCTTAATATTTATTTGTTTACTTTATTAAACATTTCTTTCAACGCGCGCATGCATAAAGCGTACATTACGCATAGTCAAAATTAGAAAATTGCAACCAGAAAACTATTTGATGTGTATTC